GATCTGAACAGCAAGTGGTTTGAAGATTGACAGATCAATCTCTTTGTGAGCATGTGTGGGACTCCTTTTGGAGCCACACATCTTCAAAAAGAGATCAATCCAAACAAAGATTGCCAAACAAACAGACAGAGAAACAAGACGTGTCACAGACTCTAAACATCACTGAACTGGCAACATGGAAAGACTGCTGAAGCACAACTCACCACCGACAACCTGCTGATGAAAAGCTACTGAATGCAAAAAGCACAGTAAACAGAATTGATCAAGCGTCAGGCAGGAAAATGCAAGAGGATGATTTGAGTATAAGGAATGAGATGAGACAGCAAATACTGACTAATGACATACATAAACAGGTTCATGATGATGAAACAAAGGAGGCAGCCACAGTCCCTTTCTTAAATTTCTTATTTCTCACACCATCATCTCCATCTTCAGACTCAAGTTCACTGACCTTACGTCCTTCCCCTTCTATGTGCAAGTTATATAAAATGTGTGCCAATATTTTGTGATAGGCCTACACTCGGCTACATGTCTGGGTATTTTGGTGGATTCCTCTGTGGTTCAAGAGCCAGTAATAAAGCCAAACGTACATGACATACATGTAGAGGCAAATTTAAGGTTTGAGAAATGGCTATTGTGATCTGGACTACAATTTAATTGGTCATTTCAGAAGTCATTTGTGTGGTTATTAACCCTAACTCCCCAGGGTGTGTGCAAAAACATATTAATATTGGAGGATTCAGGACTGTTAGGGTTAATATTACACCACTGCTGAATATGATATTTTAGTGCACACCTTTAATTGACCAATCTACTTTCAAGATACTTACAAGGCCAAAAAAACTTTTCTGCTTGTATTTTGCACCTTTATTCAATAAAACCAAATCTGTGTGATTTCAAACATATTGGCCTATAATCAATACAAACATACATTTGTTCACCGGTCTGGATAGTAGAAGAATCTATTTCTTGTACTAGGACAGGGTTACATGTACTCATGTACTTGTACCTAATCAGTAAATTTCAAGATCCATCTTATTTCAGCATTGTCAGACGTATGTGACACAACGAAATGAGTCACAAATCGCCAGAGCAGCTTCTGCGTTAAAGGCCTCCGAGAGAATCAACAGAGGCTTTGCGTAGCAGCCATCTTGCAGGGAAGTTCTTTTGTTCTGCAGTGAAACCTCTTTTGTGCATACTCTAGAACAAAAGCACCGACCTGCAACATGGCAGCCATGCATGAATGGCATCTCTACTCACTTGTTAATTCCGTCGATGCAACTTCCAAGATTACATGGGTTGACTGCACATTCATCAATGTCTATCTCACAGAGAGTGCCGTTATAGCCCGGTGCACAGTTGCATGTGAACTCGTTAATGCCATCTTCGCAGGTGGAGTTATTCTTACAGGGCATTGGATCACACTCATCGATGTTGATCTCACATCGGGACCCTGTGTAGCCAGGTACACAATTGCACTCCACATCGTTCAGTTTATCAATGCATGTAGCACCATTGAAGCAGGGATCAGAGTCACACTCATTGAGGGTTACTTCGCAGTTATCACCAGAGTATCCCGGACGGCAGTAACACTGATAACTATTAATATCATCAAAACAAACTCCATTTAAGCAAGGGTTGGAGTTACACTCATCAATGTCTTCTTCACAATTTACCCCAGCAAAGCCAGAAGCACAGGTGCAGTTGTAGAAACCTATATAATCATTACACGTCCCGTTATTCCCACAGGGGTTCTCTGCGCACTCGTTGATATCATCAGCGCAGACAGGGCCCTCAAAGCCCACTGGGCATGCACAGCGGTACCCATTGACCTCATCAAAGCACACCAGGCCCAATGTTGCATTACAGTCGTGACCCAAGCAGTCATCAATATTGATCTCGCAGTTGGTGCCATTGAAGCCAGGCACACACGTGCAGGTGTACTCCTGTGACGGCAATGGAGGTGTGGTGCACGTGGCGCCGTTTTGGCACGGTTTCCTGATGTCACAGGCATCGTATAGCATTTCACACATCTCTCCCACGTAATCGATGGTACAATTGCACTGGTACCCATTCACAAGATCTACACAGGTACCACTGTTCTGACACTGATTAGACTGGCACTCATCGATGTCCGTTGAACAGTTCTTGTCTGGTCAAATCAGAGAGCGAGATAATGAGAGAAACATACAGTACAGGCACTAGACAACAACCAACAGAAATCAAAACACACACCTAGCAAAAATCAATCATTTCATCTTAAGTTGATGGCTGGTAAGATCAACAAATCAACTGTTAGGAAAAAAATACTTGATCTGATAAAAATACATGGCTAATTAACGATGCATTAACGGAGTATCTTACCAGTAAAGCCGGGGATGCAGTTACAAGTATAGTCATTCACCTCATCAACACAAGTGGCTCCGTTCAGACATGGATTTGGTAGACAATCATTGGTGTTATTCTCACATCTTTCACCTTCAAAACCAGGCACACATTCACAAGTGAAGCTGGGAAATGATCATCAGAAAAGAAAAATGAAAACAGAAAATTATTCAATTTGTGTATGGTCAAACAAATAACTATGAGAAAGAATTTTCAAAACAGTACAATAGGTATAAGCCTCGTGACCATGACAGCATAGAAATACCTCCAATATCTCATTTTCTCCAAAATGACAGCAAATTTTAAAATATTACTTTCCAGTGCCAGTGAACAGAAAAGACCAAGAACTTCTTATGATGTACAAAATCCTCCATAATGCCCAAAGTTGAATTTAAATGATGGAAACTTTTGCGATGGTGGTACAAATATAAATATTCCTGGCTAATACGAGTTTGTATCAGTACCTGTTGACTCCATCCACACAGGTTGCACTATTCAGGCATGGAAGAAGTAAACATTCATCAATATCCACGTTGCAGAGTTCCCCATTATACCCTGGCAGACAGGTGCAGTTGAAGCCATTAATACCATCAACGCAGGTGGAATTCATCAGACAGGGGTCGGGATCGCACTCATCAATGTTCATTTCACAGTTGGTGCCGTTAAATCCAGGAGAACAGGTACACTGATAACTGAAGGAGAAAAAAAAAGCAAAGTGAAAAGCAACAAGTTGAAATGGAATCAAGAAAGTCTGTGTGACCTCTACAACTGGCTGGCCAATGCCTTGCCTCGTCCATTCCAGCCTGGCCCAACTGACTGGCCAATGCCTTGCCTAGTCCATTCCAGCCTGGCCCAACTGACTGGCCAATGCCTTGCCTAGTCCATTCTGGCCGGGCCCAACTGGCTGGCCAATGCCTTGCCTAGTCCATTCCAGCCTGGCCCAACTGGCTGGCCAATGCCTTGCCTAGTCCATTCTGGCCTGGCCCAACTGGCTGGCCAATGCCTTGCCTAGTCCATTCCAGCCTGGTCCAACTGGCTGGCCAATGCCTTGCCTAGTCCATTCTGGCTGGGCCCAACTGGCTGGCCAATGCCTTGCCTAGTCCATTCTGGCCGGGCCCAACTGGCTGGCCAATGCCTTGCCTAGTCCATTCCAGCCTGGCCCAGCCTAATCCAGCCTAGCTAAGCTCAGTTCAACCAGCTGACACGCCATGCAATCTAGCAATCAACTAAATCCCATGCTAGGTTGAAATACCCCAGACTATTAACCCAACCCAAACCCAAACCAGACTGACCAAACACACATCAGACCTGAGCCTGCATGCCAGCCATCCTAGCCCAACCAAAATATTCCATCTTCAAAAGATACTCCCGGCGTCGCCTCAACCTTACTCGGCTAACATCAACCAGGCTTGCCTTGCTCAACCCAAGTCAGCCATACCGAGTGTGGACATTCTTTTCGTGAAGTTAAGAAAATTCAATAAAATTGCTCATTTTTTTTAAAAACTTTGAACACAATTTTCAGCTGGCTTTTTGTACAAGGTTTCCTTGACTTTTCCTCTTCCTTTTACAACAGATGACCCCTATCCCAAAATGCCTCCCAACTTCCTTTTCAGAGACAGGGAAACGTCCTGTGGACATGTGTAAGTCCAAAGAGCGTCTTCCTTTCCTGCATCATTTGGACATCTTTTGTTCACAAGTCCACACTACGTATGTAAGGTTAACACAGTACAACCCACATTAACCCAGTTCACCCCAACTACCACACCTCAGAACCCAGTTCACCCCAACTACCACACCTCGGAACCCAGTTCACTCCAACTACCACACCTCAAAACCCAGTTCACCCTAACTACCACATCTCGGAACCCAGTTCACCCCAACTACCACACCTCATTTGGATTCCACTTACTTGTTATCCAGATTTTCACATTCTCCATTTAGACATGGGTTTAACGAACACTCGTCAAAGTCCTCACAAGAGCCAGATTCATTCACAACTAAAAAACAAATGAATTTTAAAAAATGAATTATTTAATCATATTAAAAATATACTCTTCGGTTAGCATATTAAAAAGATGGCCATCTTGTCTCAATGGGCGACTTTTGAGAGACTGGAGACAGCAGAAACTCCGGTCCTGTTGCACAGTGCTGCACATGCTCAGAATCATGCAAGCTTGCCCAGAACTGGTAAAAGGGACCAGCATGTTTGTTGCCACCAAGCGTCTCAATGTCTCCCATTGCTTCAGAGTCGAGAGCATAGTAAGTTCACACACTTATCAAAAATGAATTATACCTACTGACCTCCCCCCCCAAATTAAACTAGTTGTTTTGGATTCCATTATAACATTATGACGGAAATCCAGAAGTTCAATATAAAATAGTACCTTTTCCAGGCGGGCATTCACAGGTGAAGGCATCAACTCCATCAACACAGACAAAGGTTGGAGGGCAGGCTTCAGAGGTACAATCATCAATATTCAACTCACAGTTGGTACCTTCAAAATAAAGGCCTCAATATCAATGGATACAATTGTAAAACTACCTGTTCAGAGCTACTTGGGTCTTTTACATGAATTAGCTAGGCCAGCAAACTAGCTAAAATATGACATGATTCACACTGCCTATGTCAAATCTTACTTTGACATAAAAATTGGACATAAATTAAAAAGTAATATGTTTACCGTTGAATCCTTGGACACATTGGCACTCATATACCGCATTGATCAAGTTCACACAGGTTGCACCGTTCAAGCAAGGGAATGACTCGCACTCGTTAACATCAGTATCACAGGTCTTCCCTGTCCAGCCAACTGAGCACACACACACAAAGCCGCCAGACGTGTCCACACATGTGCTGTTGTTCTGACAAGGTTGGACGTCACACTCGTTAACATGTTGTGAACACCGGTCCCCAGTGTAGCCAGTTCCTGTGCAGTTGCAGGTGTAGCCATCAATGCCATCAATGCACCTGCCACCGTTCAGGCACTGGTGGACAGCACACTCGTCAATATTGATGCCGCAGTCGTCACCACTGAAACCTGAGAGATTCCACAACAAATCAACTTTGAAGATGAACTTAGTGTAAAGCTCCATCTAAAGGCAAACCAAATTGAAGCTAAATGATTAAGCCAATTCAACATGGAAAACCAGCGGTAATCTAACCGTACCATACCTAGTGCACATTCACATTGGACACCTGTGTCGGTCGCTCGGCAAGTCGCATTGTTCAGGCACGTGTCACTGCTACAAACAAAGGTTTTATTGCGCTCACAGAGAAGACCCTCAAATTGCCCTGTACACTGGCAGTAGGTGGAGTTGCCTATGTCATCTTCCAAACAGATCCCACCATTCTGACAGTCCAAGCTGTAGGCTGGATTGTTACAAAGTGGCCCTGCAAAGTGGACAATAAAACATATATATGCAGGCAAATGAAACACTGGTCTTACTTATTAATATGGATAGTACATGTGGATTCCTAACAGGTGCATATTTCCTATTTGCCGACAAAAACCTCGGAATGTATACAAATTTTGGCTAGTACTGCAGAGACAACCTAGACTATGACATCAGCAAAAAAATACTTTCTAAGAACAGTTCTTGAGTTCAACCTTATAAAATAAATATGACTCCCCTTCTGTGTGATTTGTCATATCTTTGTCAATTTGTTGCATGCCCTCAAGGAGGACAGAACAGGTCTGTTCACGGGGTGACTTTCAACTTCGCAATTTCTTGAAAACTTACTGGTTTCAGCACTGATCAATATAGGTCACCCTTCATACCAACGTACATGTACTTTAAAGTACTTGTATACAGACAACATCAACCCCCCCATGCATGCAGTGTGACTGTCTTGACTATCTTCCTTTGGTTTGTCTAGTTAACTTTAAGAAATTTGACAAGTGTTCATGATATCTTACAATGTTGTCAAGTCCAGGCTTGAAGTACAGTTTGATCACTAGTCAACTGCTCTGTAACAATGCGCATGCACTCAACAGTTACACAAGGGCATCTTGCCATATCTCATCCTTACATTTTGCTGTTGGCGGTAACTATCACAGCGGACATGCTCAATGACATCATGGGTAATTATCTTCATGCAAATGGTTCCCTCTGCCCTAAAAAAATTTAATCTGCTGTTGATAACCACAGGCCTCGATCTTTACCATGGCTACGATTGGCCGCGTGCCCTTCCCAGTTGGCCATAATGCCCTTCCAAAAAACTCACATGTCACGGCCACCTTGGGCAGCATGCCCTTCCCCTTTGCAGCCGGCTGCATGTGTAATGAGAGGGTACCATTTAAGCCAATGCATGCGGTGCGATTCTGAATTGGGATGAGTTCAACCTTTTGGGCTGCATTCGAGCGAGCTACTCGTGCTAACCCGAGTACTATCCTGAGCGCACGAACGACAGGAGTACCGTCCTCGGGTCAGCGAGAGTACACTCCCCATCACAGGGGAGTACACTCCTGACCCAAGTGTAATGCGCGCGCATCCACACTCGGGTTATTGGGAGTAACCGCGTGAACGCAGCCTTGGATATCATTATCAGAGCTGCACTGGTAAGCAGCATATTTTGAATGCAAATTTGCATAACTAAGTCGGAAACCAGGCGAGCGCTTATTGTGTTAAGAATAAGTTTTGACCATTCGTTAGGCCATATCTCAAAATCATGCCATTGCACGATTGTATAAAGAAACGCTAAAAGGATGCATTATTACGGGAGGGCTCAAAGTGCCAGAAGCTTGAAAACCTGTTTTCCAGAAAAAGTAGGGATGAAGTATTCATAAACTTGTAAACTCCGGCAAAGTTGGCACTCAGTCTTGACTCGAAAAATAATGACTTCGAAATGTCGATGTACTGCTTACCGACTTACGTGGTGTGCTGCCTTAATACAATCCCTATAATTCATTGCACCAGTTTAATTGCTTTGATCCGCCCTGGTTTATTTCTATCTCAGTTGTCGATTCAGGTAAGTTTTTCCTCGATTTTCATCATCACTCTGTACTGAGGACGACCCGTGCATGTCGTTTGTACTGACATAATGCCAGCACGCATAGCACATGGCATGCACCGGCGTGTGCATGCGGGATCTAGGGCTGGCCTTAAGTAAAACTTTGTTCAATAGGGCGACCCCAAAAAGGGACAGAACTCATGCGCATGCATTAGAGGGGGTACTGGAGTTGATGCGAATATTGGGGAAACCCCCATGTGGTCACGCTCCTGCACACGCAATGTACATGTAAGCCTACTCTACTTCGACTGTTTGTTTACAGCTCACTTCATACCAGGATTTATTTTTTTGTGGTTTTATGGAAAAGGAACCGAGAGAACATGCCGACTTGAACGAAACAACGGCTTATAAAGGTCCACTAAAAAATTATCAATGGAAATGCATCAACACATGATTGGTACTTTTATCAAAAGGCCGACTTACGAGTCGCACAATGCCGACTTTACCGGAGTTTTCATGAGCCATTTAGCACACAGTAAACATTTTAAGAGGATCCCCATTTCATTTAAATAAAAGGATAAACACTATTTATTATATTTTAAACTTATTTTAAGGGGGTAAGGAATCCTTGTATTCTAATGGGAAAGGGATACAAAAATCTATTCGGAAGAAAACATTGTCCGGGTGATTGTAATTAAAAATTAAATTAATTAAAAATTAATTAAAAAAGAACATTGCAATTTTATACAGGGAATGTGACAAATAATAGCAGCATGATAAACGCCTTTTATTGAAGGGGGGTGGCATGGTGTACAAGAACTGAATAGATTAGAGGCTTACTCATGACATGACTGGTTGTCAAAAATGTAAATCAAAGGTTTCAAAATAATTGGCCTTGATGCCCCCTTGAGCTGGCCTGGTGCCCTGTTGAAATTTGATGAAGGCAAGGCCAAAGTGGCCTGCCCCTTTTTCCCCCAAGATCGAGGCCTGTAACCAGTGGTGTGACCACGCGCAAACAGCCTACATGTAGCTTCAAATGGTCAACTGAATGGTCCAAACCATCCATCATTCCCGCCATGTTGGTCAACCTATAGTTCACTACAGATGATCTTTCCCTTTGTGGGGGAATTTCAACACCGGTGCTGATCACAGCTTACCATGATTCTACAGGTATCTGGACAACACAACATACCAGTAAGAGTCCACCTTGGCATGGACGCATGCCAATATATTCAATAATTGTTACGCCACCTTCCACCTACATGTACATGTATACTGCCTGTATAATTATGTGTTTGAACTTCAACTTGATAAGGAAATAGTGCGGGCACTATTTACCGGTACATAGTTTTTCTTTCTAGTGAATATTTCATTCAAGCACACAAATTGCTGTAAATGCACCTTCCTTGCTGTATAGAAATATTCACATCATAATTACATGTATGCCTAGCCTTTATTCTGATTTTTTTTTCCAAGGGTACACAATGTAGGCTTTTTTCCTGAAAAATTCACTACATCTAGGTAGGCAAGTTCACAACTTGGGCTTATATGGAAATGGGTGCATGCTTTGGTCTAATGATATGACGTGAGTGTGGTTTCTGGGAACTTCTCTTGCCATGAATGCTCGAAACTTTTACACGATTGTCCAAATTTGGGCAATTTTCATTTGACTGCATAGGCCAAACTGCAAAGTGGATAGGCATAAACCACTTCTTGGAATTTCAAAAGGCCTGTAATACTGTTTGTAATTGTTTTGTTACTGAAACATTAAGAGTTCTTTTCAGAAAATCGTCTTTCAGTAAAGAGTTTGTGGAAAATGACACCTCTGAAAAGGTTTAAGCTAGAACAGGTCACCTGTTACACACTCACCTGTAACCCACGTCATTTCTGTGTCAAATCAAGGACACTCTATCAATGGAGCTAAAGTGACTGAGACCATGGAGCGAAGTATGTGTAGACAGACAGTACAATGCTTCTACTGTAAAGAGTGACGTGTGCTTTTCAGTAAATAATGCCCATCAGACTTTGCTGGAATTTCCCTGCCTGACATTGCCAAATCATGGGCCAAACAAAGAGACTCTGGGATGCCTGTATTTTGCCCCAGAAAATCCATGGAGTACTCAGATAAATATAGGCAATTTTTTTTTTTTCATATCAATTTTCATTTGCTGTCACATGTACAATCAGCACTGTGTACAGGTTTATGCGCTATACACAACGCATGTACCTGGACTGTACATGTACATACGGAAGTGTCAAGTAAAACATTATAATCTTGGGCCTAAGCTCTGTCTACATGTACTGATCAGAGAATGTATCATTGTTTTCGATACTTTCATAACATTGCAAAAGTTGTGGAAGTGCATGCATGCCGCTGAAGCAAATGTTAATAACTTTCAAGCAAAAAAGGGGTGCTGCACATTTCTATAACTAAAATAGTTACATGTATGTTAATGTTAATTAACTTTTCATGCCCAAAGTTATCATGCATACGGACAACACATTAAGTTACCGTGTAGGTTACAGGTACAAAGACTAGGAGTACACGCTAAACAACGAGCCTTTTGCGAGTTTAATTTGAATAAACTCTGGTACACTGAGTTCTTTAAATTCACGTGAACATAACAACTTGAATTCTTCCAACCAAGGCACTGTTGCTATACCTCGTGATTCAGGGCAAGCTTCTGCTGAGTAGACGTCCTGCACCGATACACTGTTTTCAATGGATAAGAAGGGCACAGAGGAACCAGTCTATTCCAGAGATGGTGGTCACTATGAAAAACCTTGCCCCGAAACATGAGGTATAGCAACAGTGTCTTTAGTCTGCGGAACTCAAATTGTTATGTTTATGTGCAGTCAGATATTAACTCAGTGTACCTGATTTTATTCAAATTTAATTCACAAAAGGCTCATTAAATACATGTATGCATAAATACCAAATTGCTGATTGATAACAATCACTAATCAAGCAGTTTCATGGGTCACCAAACTACAACTTTGGCAGGAAGCTTTCCAAATTCATCTCCTTGCCTGTGCATTTGGAGATAGAGCAAAAAATGGAGCCTTTTTTGTCATTTGCATCAACTGCATTTAACACCAACCACATCGCAGAAGCTGAACCATCAGCATTTCACAAATTTCTCTTTCAACAGCCAAAACAGCCTCACCACAAGAACAGAACCTTTCTTTCCAAAGGCAAAATCTATCCTGACTTGTTTTCATTGTTAGTAATCCAAAGAAGAGCCCTGCATAGCCGTTTTTTTTCTTGGCTACTATAGCTACTGTAGCTTGCGTGTCTTGATACTACTCTCCATTGGTGTATGTACCTTTATCAATCTCACAATTTTCACCCTCGTAACGGGCCGTGCAATCGCACGTGTATCCGCTCGGTGCCTGTGTGTTGGTGTAACAAACACCATCATTTTTGCACGGATGCGTATAGCATGGATTACGCACTGGAGGCTCTAGAGAAAAACAACAAAAAAAAAACCAAAGATTTTTGTAACACACAACAACGGTGGGCATAACCGGGATTCAGGGAATTGGCAGATTGGAGATGAGGTAAGAAAAACAAGGTAAAAGTGAAGTTATAAAAACACTGTCTTGATGAGATTGGTTTCCGAGAATCAAGTATATTCTTTCCTTTTACAAACTGCTCACTTGAAAGCAGACACAAACATCTACATCGAATTGGTCAACCTGGACTTTGTCAGTGTCATGAGTCAAATTCAGAAAAACCAATCCAAATAAGTTTATTCAAGGATTGCTCTGCTACAACTCTCAAGGTGAGAATCTCAACATGACAGCCAAGAGGAAGATTATCCATGTATGAATAACAGCATGACTGCAACGCCAGTGCGGTTTTGTCCCACTTCAGGTTCCTCATTTTCTAGATTTGTGGTGTCTTCCACCAAAGTTCCAGAGCTTCAAGAGAATGATCGCAACAGCAGTGACAGCACTGGATTTGCAATCACGATGACATGTCGATGGGTTATGTGCAGTGAAGGAGACAAAGTCAAGTGTTAGTTTACCAACTCAGAAAAATGAAAAGTGGAAGGTTTAGGAAAGGAAAAGTATGCACAAGACATCTGAACCAAAAAATGCATTCCTTTGTGTCCTTCAAAATTACTTCATGTATTGGTTATGATGAAATTCTCCATGGAAATATGTGAAAACTGCAAATGGGGGACTTGCCATGCAAGTCCTGAGCTAGCTGTGGCTTGAAATTATGCAAAGATTACGGCTGTGGTTGAAGCCATTTCCAATCAAGTTGTGTGTCATCTTAAGCCGAAGCCGAACAATTTGGACATGGCTACATGTATCTGTGACTTTATACAACTTGTCATCATTCAAGGAGCAACACTTTTAGACTTTTTCAATGACACAAAGTCAGCATGTTGGATTAATTAAGAAAAAATTGATTTCAAGACAACAGAGGAGTTGTGCATAAAAAAACATTAGGAAAGGTCTTTGAAAACTGCCCAACTGCCTACAGAAAGCGTGCAGCATGATTGCAGAATGTGCAAAGGTATGGACCATGATCATGTCTCCCAGAAAAAAACATAGATTTTTCCCTTGTCAAAAACATTTAAAATGAGATGATTATGATTCAAGGATAAAGACATGAAATAAATGTGCTTGTTGTTTGAACTCAATACTTGTACTGACTCAAAAGACTGATTCAAACAAACTGATTGAAAATATAATTGTTAAACAAATCCCAGTCCTTACATGTACTTCTCTGCATATCATTAAACAGGACGACACAGCAAGTGCCTCAAATTAGTTTCATGAATTAGTGTCTTCACTTCTGCTGAGAGTTCATTTAGCAGACTTGTTTCAATCTTTTCCATACTTCTACCGCCCTCTCCACGTACTCCTTACATCCCTCCTTCTTTTAAATCCTTGCTGAAGCCCCATGGCATCATTTTTTTCCACCAAACTCTATAGTCATGTTCTTGGCCGAATTCTGATTTACACTAAATGCTTGGTGAGGCAATTTGTCCCTCGTAAAGCAGCTGGTGGACATTCATTACATTTCAGACAAGCATTCAAATCAACACACAATCACATGACCTTTGGCTTTATGACCTCATGATGAGGTCACATCAACATCACAGGGACTACTTACGACACCCTTGCTGCATTTCAAGTGGGCAGACACCCCACTCTACGTTACTCCAACTTGTTGCAGAATCCAGCAGAAGCCCTGTAACTTGTTCCATACAACCCACAAAATCCACGCCTAGGATGACGTCGCTGCCACCTGACAAGTCAATCGCCAAAAGTTCGCTGTTCATGGAGGCTGAGGCCAATGTCGTTGAGTTGTCATCCACAGTCAAAATGATGCTTCCTAGCGCAAATTGCAATCTTAAAAGCAGCCATTTGGTGTTGGTTGCGTAGTTGGGCCCAAGATCTGCTGACTTTGAAACTGCCCCGACCGTCCATGTAGCTCTGACAAAGCCAGAGGGGATAACAGACAGGGTGAAAGTGTCTCCATTGGAGCCTGTTTGGGTAAGGATTTCCCCTTCATCGCAAGTTCTGAAATTCAGCCAAGTTCCTAGAGAGCTCTGTAAATTTAGTACTGTGCTGATATTTACATATGATGAGACATTGAAGTAAACCTTGCTTGCAGGTGCATTCTGGGCAAGTGTTGGGTGGAAGGATCCTGTATCAAACATAAAACAAAAAAATCCAAGATAAACAAATTGCATTCCCCGTTTCCAAAAATTACTCTTCAAAGAACAAACACTTTTAAAATATTGTTAACAAAACTATATGCAGAGTCCAACAATTCACATACATGTACAATAACAATACAAAAATATTGTAACATAATAAATACACTGCTCAAAAAGTGAAGGACCACTTTTTATTTTGTGTATACTTTTTTATATGAAACAGTTTACTGCTGATGTTTTGAAACATTTTTAAATACTATTTATTCCAATGAGACCGCCATCTAGACAAACAAGAAATGAAAGAACTAGACCCCACTCATTGCTTGGAAAAAACATTACAAGTTAAGAAAAAAGCGGTCCTTAATTTTTTTGAGTAGTGTACCACTTTTAATCAAAAATGCTGATGTGTAAAATGCAAAATCCAACCAAACACAGCGAACAACTACTTCCATGAAAGCATGCATACATGTATATTCAAAGATGGGCTTCATTCATCTGCAGGCCAACATCTACAATTAAGAGATGAACATTTGCTGCCAAAATAGGGTGCGGGGACTGCAGATACATGAAGATTCAACAAACAATCCTACAGGCTCCATCAGTTGTAAGGAATTTTAATTAATCTGAAGTATTTAGGACAGTTAAACATCAGTGTTCTGTTTGGATACACCTCCAGGGTAGAATTGCATACCACTGTGATGAAAGAAAGAGACTGAAGTGGTTTATCCTTTTGATATTACTGTACTTGACATATAACTCTTCAAGTTCCCACAACCTGCAAACATTTGGTAAACATTCAGAACGTGAAAACGACAAGAAAATTCTTACATAAATGGGTAACTCCAGAAATTAGGGGTCCATTTTTTTCATATTTTGTGTCCCTGTCACATCTGACATATGATTTTGTAAGTTCAGAACACATTTTCTAATGTACAAGAGTGATAAACTAATGCAGATTACCTGTCAAAAAAATAGTAAGAGTTTGAAATCGATTCTGGTGATATTTCCGTGTCAAATAACAAAGGTCAAATGTAACTGGGACACGCAAAAAGTCACACTTTTGGACCCATAATTTCTGGCATTACCCAAATATAACTCGGCAGAAAGTGTGAGGCCACTATCAAAGGTCTGCATGTACATACATGTATGTACACAAACGGTATGACGCCTGCTGTGAGCAAAGCAACAAGTTCAAAAATTCTGCCTGTTGGTTTTTAAATCCTGGGAGTCGACCGAGCTTTGAAATCCTACAGTATGAAAACCACAACCAATCAGCAAACTGGTACAAATTATCCCCCCCCCGTAGGAAGTCAAGAGAATCAGAAGAATCTGCATGTATACCTTGCATAATTTAGGAACGAGTCAACACCCATTGCCACAGTTTAGACTGTGCACAAGGTGTGACATACATACATACACATACGTAATCACTATTAACAAATGTTTACAGCCCACATTTATTACATTTCAACATTCGTTTCTGTTTGTTGAGCAGAGTAATACAACCAGATAAATTCCTTGCCTGCGTAATGCCAGAATAACAAGGTCTAGCCATTGCGTGTCCAAGGCCCTAGTTATTTATTAACAGACTGTCAACACTTCCCGATTACATAGGACTGCTAGACTTGCATGCCCGCTAACCAAAATACCATCCACTTGAAGTTGATTGCCATCACACAGCTTGCAAATTGTCTCAGAATCTGTTAATTATTTACTGGTAGCTGGCACAGACTTGTGAAGAAAATATGCACAGGATAAATCATCTTTATAATTTGATATAATTGTTTTGACAAAGCTTAAACCATTATTACTAACAAAGGGTGCAGCCATCTAATTTTTGTGCACTACAAAAAAGTGCACATAGATTTTTAGGATCAAGAAGACACTTCAATACATGTATTGTTGTGAACTTTGAGGTTTTAAATTAAATTCATAAGCACAACCAAGTATTAAATTAAACCCAGGTTTGGCACAATTTCACTGGATTCGGGAATGCATAAGAGGCAGCCACAAGTGCTTCAAGTTTTCATGAGACTTGAATCTGAAATTCCTTTTTTTTCAGCAAACATCAAGAATCCTTGGGTACTGGGTTAAAGACTTTGTAAACATGTCCATCCTGGTTGTATAGAAGAAAACTTTCCATCATAATTCTGATAAAATCCTTTAGCTTCAATGTACACACACACGCAAGGGTGTATTTGCCTGCAACTGGGGACCCCCTATTGTTCCTCTTTTGTTTGTACTTTAACTTTTTTAGAAGACCGCCCATATGTTTTGTACACAGTTGTCAATCGGGGACCCTCTGGCAATGGGGGACCTTATTGTCCTCTATTGTTCAAGGTCCCCAATTGAATGCAGAAACAAACTCACCCACCAACCAACCTTACATACCTAGTGTGGACATTCCTTTCTTTTCGTGCAGTTAAGAAAACTCAGTGAAAATACTCGTTTTTCTTGAATGGGAACAGGATTTTCAGCAGGCTTTTTGTACAAGGTTTCCTTGACTATTCCTCTTCCTTTTTATGACAGATGACCCCTACCCCAAAATGCCTCTAAACTTCTTTTTCAGAGAAGGGGAAACGTCCTGTGGACATGTGTAAGCCCACAGAATGTGGGTATCTTTTGTTCACAAGTCCACACTAGGTACGTAAGGTTAGCGCAGACACAAATACCAGTTTTACATACAAAGTGTGGACATTCCTTTGTTATCCTGTGGTTAAGGAAACTTGAGGAAAATGCTCCTTTTTCTCCTACTAGGGTAACTCCTTTGAGCTGGATTTTTGATGATGATTTCCTGGACTGTTCCTCTTCATTTTGCTACAGATAACCTTGACCCCAAAATGAAACTGTTTTTCAAAGAGGGGAAATCATTGTGTGGACGAGTGCGAGTCCACACAATGCCATCATACCCTACATTATGTGGACTTCTTTTGTGCAGAGGTGCACATTATGTATGCCATGCTCACCCATGCCCGCAGGTATCAATAAGCACATCTTGATACTGAAGATTATTCAGAAATTCAGGTGAACCGCACTCTTCAAAATCTACATATTTTGAATTGATTTCTCCACAGCAAGGAGTGTTTACATTTGACTGTGAATAACTATGTTAGAACTGGTTGCAATTGTTTCTTTAACCAAGAATTAAGGCACTAAGTAACATTTTAAAAATGTTTCTGTAACTTCTGTTACCTTCAAATTGACATGTACGGGGCAACGTTAAAATGAAAAGTGAAATGAATTTTTAAAGTTCAGAGATGCATAATACATGTACCGCAAAGGAAAGTCACTTGTATTGGCCATGGAAATTGTTAGGAATTACATGTAGATCTTACTGTAGTTGCAACAATGTACACCATACTATTTTTGAAATGTCCTAATCACAAGTAATCATACCGATTGTTCATCCATGACATGCGTCACCTGTTTTTATGCAAACCTTGTTATTAAAATGTTTAAAAACTACTTAAAATGATAATGGGACTTCCACAATACATGTACATGATGTGAGTCTTGAAAAATGTCCTGAGTAATAGTTTTGGTCATCCTTTGTTATCAAGTGAACTACATGTACTGTAAGCAAACAAACGTCAATAAAGGGATCACTGACTGAATACAAAGTAGTTAACAATTTCCTGTTGAAATCGAACTTGACTGTACAGGAAGTAATGGGGAATTAATAACTTCCTCAACTTACATGTAAGTATGATTGGGATCTGTACCATTGCTTTGCTGAAGATGTGGAACATAAGATAAATAAAGCTACACGTACATGTATACATCAAAAGCAGTAACAAACTGGATATCCTTTGGAATTCAGGTTCTACTCTTTAGAGTTTAGCAAAAGCAAAATAACAAATGCACAGTGTTGTTTCAGTTCTAAATTTTTAAACTGGGGAGTCTAGTGGGGACTGACAAAAACCTTTCAACTGGGAGGAAAAAGAGCACTGCTTTAGCACAGGGTTTCAGGTCCACTTACATTGAATGACTCTCCTATGTTTTTGTAGTTTTTTTTTCCGTTGCTCGTGAACTTTGTGGGAGTCTGAGAGGAAGACTGTTTTGTAAAAATTGAAAGCAATTTTACACCTTCCTAGACAGCTTTCTTTTATCAAGATACTGCTGTGTAAGATGAAATATTCCACTGTGTTAATTTACCAGTAGTGCCAAGCATTTTAAAATTGGCAGTCAGATTTTAAAGCTTGGGAGCTACTTTTTAAACACAATGGACAACAAGCAAAGCTTGGTGGATGTTCATGTATGGATAAAGCAGACTGAATTTTAGAAAAAGCCTGTAGCTGTCGCAATTACACATGTACATGTAATTGGAGAAAGTTCCAGATGTACTCTGAATAAACTCTTGCGATAAATCATTTCTGTGGTGAAACTGATATCACCAATATCACTTTCATTTAACATTAAAAAATCTGAAATACTGACAATAAACCTGATGAAAGCAAGCCATATGTCATTTTTTTTCTACATGAGAGACAACTTTTAACACTGAAAAAGGCCTTGTCATGAGTTTGAGCCAAGAGAAGATTCAAATCACTTCAAATCACAGGGTATTTGTGCACGTACATGTATGTGCCTGCACCTTATTAAGAAAAGCAGATCTATGGGTAAAATCACCACTTTATGAGCTGGCTACAGATAGGAGACCAGAAATGACACAAAATCCTGCCATTTAAGACTGCATGCTCCATAACAAATAGATGCTGTCTGGAGTTTATCTGCCAGCCACGGAGGGTTGGTTTCAAGTAACACTCTAACAATCTGTTCAATATCAAAACCCTTGGCTATGGTAGTACCACTTGCAAAGAACACGTATTCAAATTGTAACATCATGAACCTCAGCAGTGATAAGGAAAATTCTTGACAAAAGGAAGAAAATAAAATTGTAGGACACAAAAAAATGTCTCTGTGCAATGCCACTGAGTATAAGTGATGATGCAGTTAATTTAGCCATTCTAGCTCATCAAAAGCCTAGCAAGGTATCTGGTAGTCAGGCTTTTACTGTTTCTGTTAAAGAAAGTGCCAGTTTCTCGAGAAATGATGAATTTAGGACTTTAAAATCATAGCTCAAGATATTTCTTATGTTAGTTTGAACAAAGTTAACAGAGTTTATTTTTGATGTACATTGTTTTTCTAATGTATTTTTGAGAAGCATTTTGAGATATTTCTTCCGAAATATTATGGATGTTTCCAAAGGCAATCATCACTCTTACAAGAGTTATATTCCGGATTCCCTCCTTTTTTTCCTTCATTCAAGGAAATGTACATAACATATCAGTACAACTATGGCCTTGCAGAATCTTTATTACATACAACTTCTAAACTAGGACATGGGAGTCATTTTCGGTATTTTGGGGTTAGAAAATGAAATTAGGCCTATTACCACTTTCCGTGAGCCTGGGTGAACATGATGAAGACATGTCATGCATGTTTTGTTGTATATTAGAAGCAAGAATTGACTTTTAAAATCTTCGGAATTAAATTCATTACTTGCATCAAAAACTGTGAGAAAAGGGGCTTTCTCCATCCATCACGTCCGTGATGGCGGATGCATCAAGGTAGGCTAGGCCTAGTATTATGATGAATCAAACAGCGAATAATGATGATAAAAATGGAACAGTGCCCCCTGTGGCTTGAAATCCATCCCTCTTGAATCGAAGTTTCTATGGCTAGCAAACTGGGGAGATTGAAATGAGTAGTCGATTGGCTCATGGAGGAATAAAACACATTCCTCCATGATTGGCTTAAACTGTAAAAAAAAATGTGGCAAATGTTTCATTTGTACGGCAGACGACAGCGGTGGGCCCCGTCCGTCAGCGTGCACACTGTACTTGGGCAGAGGCCACTGCAGCACAAGTTGAAGTTGACAAAATTAAAATAGTGAATGCCATACCGACATGATGGTTTACTTACCGAAACAAACGCAGATGATGGCTAATAATACCACCACTAAGCCTTTTTTCTGTTCCGTAGAATCCATGTTGTCTTCTTTCCTTTACTTAACAGACTGGAACATGGGTTTATCCCGGTTTGAAATTCGCCATTTTCTGACACTGACGGCTTGGTGGTCGGAAGTCCAATGGTACGGCGCGGTCGGTACGGGGCACGGGTCCCAACGTTAACGCTTCCGTTTGCATTACAAATACATGGGACAGGCCGTGAGTCTAGTATGCGAACGCTCGCTCAACATGCTGAATACTCGATAATTCAACCGATACTTTGATCTATCCACTAGTATCGGCTCTCGTCAATAAATCCATCTGATTTTCAAGAAAACCACAGTCGTTAGACAAAAAAATTGTATCAGATGTAGGAAAACCTAATTTCATTCCTTCACGTGATTAATTGCACATAGCTATTTTTTCCAAAGACGGAATATTCGGAAATCCAACATCTATTTTATCGGTACTGATAAAAATCGAATATGTCTGTTTAGACCGTCTGATGTAATTTACCCGTCACGGGTCAAAGTTCATAACGGTGGGTGGAGTGAGTTATCAGCAGGTTGCCGTACGTCAAGCCACATGTACATGTACATGTACATGTACATGTACATCTATATGTACATGTACATGTGCAGCGCCGAAGACTCAGTGTAGGCCTAATGCTTTCAATTGCCAATTTTCTTCTTGAATAGAAATGAATTTTACAATCAACCAGAACCTGCAAATATCAAAACTCATCTTTTAATAAGAGTAAATTTTTCCAAACGATTGTGATTTTCATTTCAGATGATGGACGAAAATGCCCTTTTGGAATCAACGTTTTTTAACTTCGACTGCAAACAAAAGATATGAGTCATGCATTTTTCTCGCAACTCAAAATTATGCTTTATCTTCAGGCACGAATAATCATCGTGTTGAAATTTCCGCTACAATATCGTCCGGTGTGAATAAGTCAATAAAATAGTAAAATTTATTGTATAAAGGACAGGCCTACGTAAAGTAAAGTCTCTGTGCAATTGTATTTCGGACGATATCGGTTCATTTTGAATTAAAAAAAAAACCCGGAATGACACAGGATCATACTCAGGAGAGGGCTTTCTTTTGGGGCCAGCCTGAAGGCGGATATTTTTGTTTTCCATTTGATTCGTTGTTTGTTTTCGTCGTGTTTTGCTGTTCTTGTGTTTTTTCCCGTTCACTTGAATTTTTATAATTACTGAGGCAAAAACTGGACATGGGGGTGACCCCGTGGGGAAATATTTCAAAGGCGGATCCAGAACCAAATTTTCGGGGCGAATTTTTTTTGGGGGGGGGGATTTCTGTGGAAATTTTTTCAGGTAACCGTTTATGGCTTTTCTGAGCTAAGGGTTGAGGTTACCTTTGGGGCTTTTTACAGGCTTTTGGAAAGAACGGAAATGAACATAGAACAAAACGTCGTCTTCCTTTCACAATAAAAATGGCCACTCCCCCTGGATCCGCCCTTGGATTAATTGTTTGTAACCTTAAACGCTTCTAGATCGCCTGCCGTTTCATCGCCGCCCTAGGTCCTAGTCTGTCGAAAATCATCCTAACGGCCCAAGTAGAGACTGCCCTCACATCCAAGTAGCTATAATATTTACATGATCTCAGTTTCAACACTGAGTCTTTATATGCAGCGAGTTGAACTAGTTTTTAGCTAACTCGCCACGGCCGCGAGATATAGTATCTCAAAAGAAAAATTCTGCAAGTGGCCCTTATACGCTTCCGTATAAACCAAACTGCAAAATAATTGTAAACAAGAGCCTACATCATCAGCGCACATTTGTGTTTAAAATCCTTTAAGGCAAAGAGGGGGAGCAACCAGCCCCCGCCCTTTCTTGCCCGACAATCGGCTTCCGCCTTCGGTATGACCCCCCCCCCTTTATAGTGTTAAACCAATTTTGATGTGCTAAGAATATTTCTAGAAATAATGTGGTAAGGAGAGAGGTCCAGTAAAGAATGCTGGCAGATTAAATGAATTTGCATCTACAAATGCCAAGACTGGGGGGTTGTATCATGGGTAGTGCGATCGACTTTTTAACTGTTTAAACTGCGTCCAGAAAAAAAAAATTGTCCTACCAATTGAGCAACGCCCACTAGCACTCAGACGTAGACAACCTTAATCCCTCAATCGTGGCCAAGTCCTAGGACGCCACCAAGTAGTTTCGAACTACTCGTTGAAAAAGAAATTGGTTTCGGCGATGTGCACATTGCGCGAAATTATGAGATGAACATAAACAAGCCAGCGATGACAACCAAGCGCGCCATCTTCAGCCCGTAGAAGATGTGCGATTGCTTGGGCCTCTCCGGCAACGGTCGGTTTACTGTCGGCAGTCTGTGAGGTACGATACGTTGGTTTACATAACAGCGGCAACATGAAACATATCAAATAAATAGAAAGGATCATGAGCGATTGACGCGTAAACATTCGTTGCGTTGCAAGAAGTTAATTGACTGAGACCGTCCGGCCCTGTGCATTACTTACTGCATTAGGCCCCTAGCTAGATTACTTGGTAGATATAAACCACGGTTATCGTCAGACCAGCAGTAGCCTGTAGATTAGCGCTGTAGACTTCCAAACCATGCAGTAGTTTTTTCACGTGCATGGCAGCATCTGCAGCAGCCGCAGCAGGTGGAGCAGCAGTAGTCAACATGGAGATGGAACTGCAGAATGTACAGCAGGGGTGGAAAAAGGAAGGGCGCAAGACCGTCGACAAGGGAGGGAACCAGAGACCATCCAAGAAGGACTTCCAACCTCTGGATCAGCATGAAGAGGTTGAGGCCACTGGCTTCACTGCCGATTCAGGTGGGTGATATGGCTTCAGATTCATTGAAACGGTTCGGCCTAAATTCCTGTTTTTGAATTTCAGGGAAGCAGATTACGAATTTGGACAACTTGGGTGCTTCCAGATTTCAAGGAGTTTAGAAATAAGATAAACCTTCTAATTGGTGCAGCGTCAATTTACTTTTTGGTGTGTTATTTTTAAGTTGGTTCTTTACCCAACCACACCCAACTACCTTACAGTCCATTCCTTTCAACTTCCCTGTTACTCTTGCACATCCCCGTTTCTCTTATGTTCAGGGGAAATTTGGAATTTATTATAAATGCAAATTTATTCTCCTCCTGAGATCTTATGAAATATGAATTCAGCTTGTTCCATAGAAGCTTTTCATGTGATGTAACATGACAGGCAAAGACATTTCAGAAAGCGTACTATGTCCTTGAAGGCACTGGCATGTTCAAATCTGTGTATTTCTATTGGCCGAGTCATGTACATTTGTACGCCAGAATATTTAAAGCCTTTCTGCGCTCATCCGTATAAATTGAACGCTGATCATTAAAAATTGTGACTGAAAAAACTTCTATGAATGAGCACAGTGTTGTGTGTGCCCTTCACTGATGGAAAAGAGGACATGGTACCGTACATGTAGATAGATACACATGCTGGTCTCTGTTGCTTGTTGTTTAATATACCCAGGGCTCATGCCTAGGCCCTGTGGGTTTGTGTGCTGTTGAATAAAAGGAAACCAGGGTTCTTGGCACCTGGACGTCATTGCTAGGTGAGGGTGGATCCAGACCCCAATTCTGCAGTAGGGCCAAATTTCTGAAGAATTTTTTATGTAACCTTTTACGGCCTTTTTTAGGGGTCAAGTTTAATGTTGGGGCATTTTTCAAACTTTGGGAAGGAAAGGGAAGTAAAAGAATCCCAAACAATTACCTATTTTTCATTCTATTTAAGAAAACAACAAAAAATTGTGTCCCGCTTTGGTGGGCCTCTGCTCTCACCTCCTGTGCCTCCACCCCACCCCCAGTGGATCCACCTCACCACATGGGACAATACAATAGTGGACATTGTACCATGCTGCTTGTATTATGAGAGGACAGATTGCTGTTGTTGCAATAATACAGCTGTGTACATGTCACAGTGATTGAAGTGTAAAATGAGTAAACACTCAATAATTGTCCGAAATTAATTATATCAAGCATTTGAATACGAATAGAATGCCTAAATATTGTGATGTTATATTATGTTGATATGTTATGAATGTGTATGTAAAGCGAACAAGAAGAATTTCCAAATTTTCTGGACAATAAAGAATTGAATTGATTGAACTGAATTGATTGATTAATTAACCACAGTCATTTGCCATTGGGGACAATAGATTTACCACTGAGGACAGGGGAACATCCTTGTTTCTCTTTACACTTTGTCCTTCAGTACACGGTTTGTAGCAAAGTCAGACATGTACCCTGGATGGGTGTGACCATATGAGGCAGATGGCTGCATTGGTTTTGAGTGATGGGCCAACCTTTCGTATTTTCTCTGGCAAGGCGGTACGTTGTCCAGTGTTGGCAAAATGAAGCCGTATCTCATATGTGTGCGTCAGAATGTCCTTAGTTATTTTGACTATACCACACCGTGGCACCTCCCCGAAAATACAAGACATTGTGTAAATTTTAACACTGATTGGGAAACTTCCAAAGATTCATGTGCCGGTATAGTTGGTTAGCGCTATCGACACTGACAGGGTAACAACTGGCAAAATTTGAAATAATAGTCGAAGATTTAGTAAAATAAATCTTTGCAGCCGCATATATACTTTGGTAATATTCATGCAGGGTTAACAATTTTGGGGGGGATCATTTGATTGCTCAGGATTGTAGCCAGGGTCTGTAAATTTATTCACCAATTCAATATTCAATATGCATAAAATGGACAGATGTTTTCAGACATCTGCTGGCTTTATATTTCAATGTTTTTATATCCTTACAAGTAATTGTGTGTAGAATTGGTCAGGAAACTTCAAATGAAACTTTTACCATCATACAAAAAAGTTTTAACCATAGCTGTGGGTAAAAAAGTGATAGTTTTAGAATTCTTCTAGGTGGAAAATTGTCTGTTGACCTTTAACATATTACACCTATGCTGTTGTACCAATCGAAGTGAGAAATTAAAATGCCATTTGATAATACCATAGTACCAACCTTCATCTCTGATCTGCAGTGCCTCAAATAACTCATTTCCTCACTAGTAGAAGGGTTCAAATCTTTGGATTATCTTTCCTCTTCAGTTGATGAGATATGTTTTGTTCCATTGGCAAGGACACAACAGATGGGGCCTTGGGAGCAGGTGATGACAATCAGGTGATAATTTGCAAAGGGAAAGGACAGAGTGTGGGTGTGGGGGACAATCCACCTGAGTGGACAGATGGTCTTTATGAAAGTGACATGACCTTTCAAAAAGTGCAGTGTTTGTTTTTCAGCCCTTCCGAGGAGACACATTTATAACACATTTCATGTACAATGTATCTTTTAATGTTTGACTTACATGTACCGGTAGAGTACGTGTATCTTGTTTTTTCCTTTTGATGGAAATGTTTTGAAAATTTGGGAATTTTTGTTTTGCCAATTTTTGGGGCTGGTGAAATGTACGTTCATGTTGACAAATGAAAGAACATTAACATGTACAGGTATATCTAAATACATATTTAAAGTTTTGCAAAATTATGATGTCATTGAAAAGCGTTTCACAATTGTAGTGTTTTATTGTTAACAAAAATTTGAAGTGAGCCAGACTTTTCCTAAACTTGCTTAAGCATTTTATTTTGGGTGTGTCAGAATTTTTTATCATAAATCTCCAATGAAAACCTTTTTTCCAGGTTCATCGTGTGTGATGCAGTATTGCAATCATTAAGAAGCTACTTTTTGTATGTACATAAATTATGAAGCAAAGCATACTCTATTCTTTACTGGCTTACGTGCATCTCCGGACTTTGTCTATTTGTTAAGGCTTGCCTTAGGTCTGATTCACCTTGGCAACACATCCTTGGAAAACATGGGTAGAATAACCTCGAATGTACTTAGCAGAACATGTTGCACACACAGAATTTCCGCTTTGAACCAATGCTGTGGTTAATCATTTACCGTTGAAATTAAAAGTGGGCTTACCGGTACCTTAGAATATGAATTGAACAGGGATGATGTATTATTTCCATTCTCCCAACTCGCGATAAAACTGTCGTTTATCAAATGTTGGAGAAGGCTGAACTACCAGTAAAATTTATTTTGTTTCTGACCAAATGTGATTTATATTTTCATAATTGTATCATGTACGTATATTTTAATTTGTATCACTCATAAAAAGTTAGCCTAAGTTGATATATTTAGTTTTGGAAAAAGTAAAAATAATTCTGTCATGGGCACTCAAAGTACATGTACAAGCCACATTGATTGTTCAAAATGGAGAGAAAATTACTCGACTTGTGTCGTGAAATTTAAGGAAATACATGTACATGTAAATTATACTATGATATCGTAAATACATTAATTTGGATTCATCACATGTCAATCACTTCCTATTGTGTTGGGTTACATCAAAACATTGATTGGCATTGACATCCTGTGCATCCTGTGCATTTTCATCCTCAGAAACCATAAACGGAGATAGGGGCTAATTTGAAGTATTGATCAATGTGACTCAGGGCTTAGATAATTGTCTTCAAGCCATGAGTACCATATCCACTTCCTTGCTTAGAGTAGAGTACAGTACTCTACTGCCCTCAGTATTGTTTGGTCTTTTACTCTTCTTCTTCATGAGAGGGAGAGTTCTGTACTCCCCAAGAGGCGGAGGAACTGAGTACCTATATTATGAGAGTTTGTCCTTTTACCTTAGTAAATATAATGATATGTGCACTTGTTATTTCTCTTGAAAAGCATGGTAAAAAAAAACAGTGCTTAGTGATAACCGTGAAATCATGACACCATAGACAAAAATCACATAAATCTGTATCCGTCCATGTATGGTGGCACTTGTGAGGCTACCACGGGCGGACGCCATGTTGCCTGGCTGCCGTGCGCACACACCCAGCGGTGGCCATTCAGAAGATCAAGATGCACTTCATCACTTGGCTGTCAAATGCACTCATACTCATGATCTAAACCTCGATCTTTCTAAGGTGTTTCAGACTCAAATTTTCCAAATTTGTTTCTTGCAGATGTACCGGAAACCTCTAAAATGCCACTTGAAAAAATGCCCATGTTAAGCGGATCAAAACTTTCAGAAAACTTCACATTTTTTCGCGGAACTTTCAATGAAGGGTTTGGACAACTCAACCGTATCCATTCGTGCAAAAATTGATGAATATAGTGTAGCCCCTGTGGGCTGGAAATAAATTTTACAGCATCGTGTCTTCGGGGAGTCTGGTGACAATATTTTTTTACACAAAAACAATCCATGCGCACAATGCATGTGCAGTAGCCCATTTCAGTCTACATGTTTCGCTTCAGGTCTTTCCCGTTGATTCAGGATTTTATGAATAATTTATCACAGTTATGCACGGAGCAGCGGCAAAAGCTGTACATGTATACAGATGAACATGAAAAAAATCAGTTTCAGTAGTGTCTACTACAAATGTTACTCTGTTGGGCGGGGCGTAACTGAAGAAACATGAACAATACAGAAACTTCTGGTACTCTCTCTATAGTAGAAATCACTGCATATTTTACATTCTGCATGAGGTTTTATGCTGTGTATTTTGACCAAAGTTAGGAAACGTATATACGCCAAAACGTACGTTATCTAAACCCTCTGGTGATTTATGATTCCACTTTCCACAACCAGTATTGCTGTGGCCCCTACAATTCTCAAATCTAAACCACGAAACCTCTTGAGCTTGGCAGTGCCTATCCAGTGCTCATAGTGTATACCTACAGGCTCTTCAGATGCCAAAGCAATGTATCTGTGCACTAATTCATCCTTGGAAACAGGAAATGAAAGAACCAAACGAGGCAGATACATGTACTGT